TGTGTGTGTGTGTGTGTGTGTTATTTTTCCTTTTCTTTTAGATTTATCAGAAAAGAAAAAACATGTTTTGAAGAAATTTTGTAAAATTACTAGAAAATATGGCGAAATGATTTTCCATTACAGTCTTTCAACTTTGTGAAAATGAATTGTAAAGATGAGTGAATTAAATGGTCAGTGTTTTATTATTTGGCATTGAAATTTTGATTTGTATGTAACATTCAAATAGTATCATTAAAATTTTATTCATCTTTTTAATTCTTTTTTTGTGAAATCAAATTATTTCAGCTTAGAAATTTTTAAATTTTACGATTGCTATCTCTTTCGCGCATTATTTCAAATAACAATGATAAGGTCAAGAAATTTAATGTGCACACTAATCGAAATTTAAAAAAATTGATTTTTCCTTTAAAACTTTTCTCTCAGGTTATCTCTGTTGTATTTATAAACTGGAAATACGTGTCAATTATTTCCTGTTGGTGAAGATACAATTACAAAGAAGATGTTAGATTCATGAAAATTTTTATGTTTGAAATTGATATTTCGTACTTTCATGTTATCGTTTTGATTCTTGATGTTTAATCATATCTTGATATGAGTATCATAGCTGTAGAATTCGTAAACTTCAATTTTTATGGAATAAGTAAGAAAAAACAAAAAATATATATATGGAGAGATTAAAAATAAAATCAAACTGGTGAGTGAGAGAAAATTCGTTAAAATATCAATACATATGGAAATGATAAGTATTTGGTTTTCTTTTCATTATTTGATTCCAAAGCAAATTTCCCTTCAAATATTCCTGGAAACAAAAAAAAAAAAAGAAAAGACAACTCTTTCATTTCAGAAAACGAAACAGCCGGATTGCTGACAGATTATTTTTGATTTTCAAATAAAATATACTTTCTGTAACAACAAAATTTTATAACGTCAAATTTATTTTCAAAGAGATTGCTAATTGACTAACCTTTCTCTCCTTTTCCTTCTTTCCAAATCTTTCTCACTCCCAATAATTCAAATGCTCTTTCGTTGAAAATTTTTTACATTTGTCTTTTCTCTAAATAAATGTAAAAAAATTACAGAACGGTGCATTTTTTTCATGCAAGAAATTACTAAAAGTGCAGGAGTACTATGCAAAAATTGCCCAAAATTGCAAACATTGCATATAAAACAGTCTAAATTTGCAAGAGTTTCATGTTAAACTGCTTAAAATTAATAAATAGCAACATTTTACAAACAAACCTAATGATAGTCATTCGTCCATACTATATATATTTGGCAAATCGACATGACAGACACGAGTCTTTTAAAGTACACATAAATAAAAGCATTATCGATTAACCAATTTAAAACAGTTCTGTGTCTGTTTGAAGTTTCCTAATTTTTGAAACCCTAACCCATTGATTCGAAATTCTTTACAAAAAATTCTTTTCATATTCAATTTTAGAAAAAGGACATTATTATAATAAAGTAGGCATTATATTCCCGAGAAAAAAATAAAAGCAATATCTGGCACAATGTCACCATCAGTTCCCTCTTTTCATCCAGCTCAATTATATGCTTAAATTTTAAATTTATGCATGGATCAGATTATATTTTGAACGTAAAAAAAACTGTAAAAAAAAATTCTATAACATATCGATCTTTTATTTATCGAATTTTTTCATTTAAAAATTTCAAAAACCCTTAGAAACTAATCAATGATCATGAATATTTATGTATCTGCTACAATAATTAATTAAATTAATTGGTATAACTTTAGGTTACTATATCAAACTTTTTTTTTTCTTGTAAAAATTATCCGCACTTGAGTTTATATCGATTTATCAAAACAACGAATATGGGAAGAATATTGGCATGTTACATTTTGAAAATATCGTAATACGGTTAATATTCAAAGAGAGAAAAAGAAAGGAAAAACATACTATCTGTTTATTCCTTATCATTTATACTTCCAATAGCCTGAAAGTTGTGAAAATTAGTAAAACAAACTAAAATTTCTTTTCTCATTTATTATTAATAATTTTTACATATCTCATTGTGATGTTACTTTTATTTTTTTCAATCGAAAAAAAGAGTCTTTTTTTATTCTGAAAGTTTGTCAAAATTTCAAAAATTTTTATTGCTTTCTTTTTTGAATTGCGAACCAAATTTTTTTTTCGATTACGAATAAAACAATGGATGTTATTGGTACACATTATGGTTAAATACGAAGAGGAGAAAGAAACTAAATCGGCTGTCGTTTTTTTTTTTTTTTTTAAATATCAAGAAGCCAAGAAGAGAGTTAGTCATAATTAATGCAAGGGAATGTTTTATTTTCTCTTCTTTTCATTAAGTAAAAAACATCGATAGCGTGAACCAAATTAATGCTTTTATCATTTAACTACCGTTTCTTTTTTTTTTTTTTTTAAACTGTGAAGGAAATGAAAGAAGAGAGAAGATGCAGATCTAAAACATATGCTGAATATGCTAAAAGATAAGATAGTTTTGCTTCTAATTTTTTTTTTCTTAAAATTTTTACGAAAAAGAAAAAAACAAAAGTTATTCGGTCTTTTTTTCTCTACCTCGTTATATTCTATTCAATTTTGTTTATCCGCGAGAATTTTTTTTTACTACATAAGTTCCATTATGTCCAATCCATTCTTATCTGATCATGGAAAAATTTTTTCCTATAATATGCTTTTTTTTTTTTATCTGAAAGTAATCAGCAATATTGAAAAAGAAATATGATAAAAAAAGATAAAAAAAAAAGTTCCATAAAGGATATATTTGATTTTTACGTGAGACATTAAAGTATTAATGCAAAAAGAACGAGAAGTTAATAGAAATGAATGAATGATTGATTTGATAATCCCTTAAAAGAAAGAATCGGACATTACATTTATTTGTTTAGAGTCAAATGAAAATAATATTAAATCAACATACTAAAATATTTCCCTAACCTTTTTCGTCATCCATTTTCCATTTCACCAAAGATTTGATTCATTTCTAAATTGTTCAAATATACGGAAAAATAATGCGTTTTAAATTAAATCCATTTCATAAAATAATTATAGCTAGCAAAAAAAGCTCAACCTTTTAAATTTTCACTCTAATTTTCATCCAGGAAAGTTTCCATGCAAGTTCATAACGAAAAAAGAAATTTCCATTTTTTATTTCATTGCAAGAAATTAATGTATTTATTATTTGACAAAATTTAAACTTACTATTTGACTGGATTAAAAGATGGTTTCGTCCGGTTGAACTAAATGCCATCTGATTAGATAGAAAAATTATCATCTTGCGGAAATATGTATAAATAAACAAACAAACTAAACAACAGGAAGATATCAAATTTGATTATCAGTAGTTACTCGTGTAGTTACTCGTGCAAACTTATGAATCAAAACCAGTGAAGACAACGAAATATGTATATGCTAAACATAAAATTTTATTTTGGACCTTCAAAATTTCCATAAATTACAAAAAAAAAAAAAAAAAAACGAAAGATATAAAAGACCAGCAAACAAACACGGCTACAGTGCTGCAGCACTCACCAATACTCTCAGCGGAGCGTTTTTCCTCCATTTAAATTAGCAAACTGCGGATGGAACGCTGTAAACAGGCACTGAAATTTCCCGCTAATTTCAGGCCTGTAAAATGCAGGCCTAGCATTGGGCTATGGTAAGGTGTTATGCTAAAATTAGATTGTAAATTAAATCTCCTTTTTTTTCTTAATTTTTTTGTTTGGGAGGAAAAATACGGAAAAAAATCTTACATATTGCAAAAAAAAATTTCACTAATCAATTAATATTTTCCCTCCCTTTCTCCTCCCATTTTCATTTCATCCTCTCATAGATGGAAAAATAACGCAAATTATCCAAAAATGCTAAATCATTTAAGCTTAGCTGTGATTTGATTGTTTTATTTCACGAACAGTAATACTTTACATGTATGGTAATGACAGAATTTTTAATTAAACGAATATTTTAATCTTAATGATCTTAATGAATGATATTAATTATAAGGAATGAGTAACCGAATAGAATGTGCTAGATTCATTAATAAACTTAAAATTTCCATATAAATTTAGGATGATCTCTCAGAGAATTCCTAACAATATTAGCGATATGTCGAGAAGTGTTTCTGATTAAATCATTCCATAAATCATTTGTTCATCAAATTTTTCATGGTTAAATCAGCCAGCATACATTATTGTCTTTCCAATATATTCCACCATATATATTGGTTATTGATCATCACTATTTCGAATATTTACATCAAATTGCATGAGAGAAATATTAAAAGATTTAATATATTGAATATTATACTCATCCTATATTATGCACATAATTACACGTTTTACATATGTGCATGCAAAAAAATGCATGATAATTATGAGTTATTGAGTATTGAGATGAATAAATAAATGGGAACGGTTTAAATATGAATAAATATATGAAAAAAATAGATAATAAATATGTCATTTTCATGATCTACTAAATGTTTTAAAGCCAAATTCTGAAAGCTGCAGTGTTTGTTGAGAGTGTTTAGTGAAAGCTCAATGAGTAGATTTGAATATTTTCTCTGTACATATACGCTTCTTATTAGTGTTTTTCCTTGCAATTGATCATTTTTGTTCTCCGTCATTTCCCTGTATTTAACCTAAATTCTTTTCTATTTTACTGAAGATCAAACGTTTCGTTCTTTTCAATATTTATGGTTATCTGCATATTTTTACTTTCGTCATTGACAAGAGACAGTCAATGATTTCGGCTTATCCGTGACATATTGATATAAATTAAGCGTAAGATTGGAATATATGGAAGAGCATATAATTGAACATGAATATGTGGAATAACATGTAATTAATTGAACGTGCAAACATTTAATATTCTATTATTACATATATGAGGTATTTATATTTCACGTTTATTTGTCAACATTGCATTGATAACACAATAATTTTTTAATGGGCTCAATTGTCAGACGTCACTGAAGATACTGACGCCTCATTGGAGTGAATGGAGCAGCAAAGGAGTTTCGAGGATGTCGCTTTTGAATTGTTCAAAAAGTTGGTTTCTATTTGCAAAATAAAATTAGCTTTGTTCAATTTATGAAATGTCGCTACTTATTTACTATTTATTTAATGAACAGTGATGATAGCATTTAGCATTTTGAATATCAGATGTGAATACAATTTTTAGTCTTTGCCCTGAGAGAAATTTCAAACGAGATGAGATACCGTATCAGACAGTTAGAGAAATAGTCGAAAAGCATCTCAACAGCATGGATTCAGAAAAAAGACAGCTTCTGGAGGCTCATATAAGAGGTGAAACTGAACAAGGGCCAAGTGGTAATTTTCCAGTAATTTTCTCAATGTTAATTATTTTAGGCATTAAATGTCAAGAAAATAAAGAAATCTACATGGACCATAATATTATACAAAGGGATTGGTGCTTATTGTTGGGCTAGGTTATAAGTACATGGTTTGCTTGGCCTTAATAGCAGTGCTTCTAAGTTTCTTAGAAACATTGAAAGTTTAGCTTAGATATAAAAAAAACACTATAGAATCATTACTAGCTCAGATGGAGTTCCCAGCGACCTTTGAATTAACTTTCATAAATTAATTTCAACGTTCTTAAAGAATAAATTGCTGTTTCCAGAAACCAATTCAAAAGTTGATAGTCGAGGGCCATCTCCGAGCAAACCAAAGTCAGTATCGGAATATCGAAATCTTCTTGTTGCGGATAGGCATCATTTGCTTCCTAAATTGGAAGATTTCAATGAAGCTCAAAAAATTCATCTTAGATATCCGAAGAATGTAAGGAAATTTGTGCGGGCACGTACAGAACGTAGGCTAGCTGCAGAATCGAATGATTACGTGAATATAGGTTATTTTTAGTTCTTTGTTTTCAGCAATGACAAGTTTCGATATTTAAAGATTCCAAGATCTTTTCTCGAAAGGCACTAGATTTTAACTGCGGTAGAAAATTTGCGAATTTCAAAAATCACTTCCCTGCATTAACTTTTAGTCTTTTAGATAATGAGCGCAGTTTTAGTTTACAAATACTATTCGTCGTTTTTATGATGTGTTTTCATCGACGGCAAATATACTGCAGAGAAACTGCTGATGCAAAATTAGCATACATTTAAGACCATATTTTTTTTTAGTTTGTGATGAAAAGAAACTGCCAGAAGTCTTTCTACCTATCTACGACCAGATTTTGCGGAGGCGAAAAAAGTCGTTGCAGTGTTATTATATGATTATTAATACTTTGCACCACTATTTTATGCGTATAACTTGGTCGGATCTTGTGTGGGTTAGTGATGACAAAATTCTGATATCACTGCTTATTTTTTTTAGCAGACGAGGGAAATTTTTTCCTATTAAAACCTATACAACATTATTATAAATAAATTTTCGAGAAAACTGGCGTTATTCATGCCTGCATGTTTTCTAATTTTGAGAGTAAAATTAAACATTTGTTATAAAGATGTAGTTTTATTCATGCAAAACTTCGAGTTATTTTTACAGGATTTGGTAAATGAATTTATTGAAAAACACATCATACTTACTTGTGACGGTTTAACAACGAAATATGATCGTGAAGAAAGAGCAGCGGATATCTTCGAACGTCTTCGTGAGTATGAATTAATGGTACTTCTCGAACTTCATTTGATCAAAAAACATCCAGAACGGATCGAGGAAACTGAAGTTTGTCCTTAATATACTGTTATTGCAAGAAGGTGCTTTCATTGAGAAACAAAAATTATTTGGAAAATGGTACTGGCTAGAGGAAGTTCAGTACTTATTTTTAATTTCAGGTTGTAAACAAGTTGGGTTTTCTGGTGTTTGTTGCTGACTCAGTCTACATGAAAAATTTCCTTGATGAAATTGTTTGTGATCAGTAAGTTTTTCCTTTATTTTTAACAAAAATGGAAAATATAGGAAGACTGAGCATCATTAAATGTATCAGGTTAATTTGGCTTCTGCTAGTCCAGTTGCTAATAGCTCAATCTTCCCATTGAAGTAGCACTCTGTTTCAGCTGACTTACGGTCAGCGCAAGTGATACTGGTTGTGTTTAAAGCATTTAAAGTGCAGTAAATATATTAGCATTTAAAGTGCAGTAAATCTTGCATTATATATTTGACAGTTAGTTGATTAATAATTAAACTAGTATCAGTATCTCGTTTTCAAAATATCTTAGGGAAATAACGATTTATTGGCAATTGTTTTTCAGATTTGCTCATATAATGCCCAAAGCAATAGTTTACATTTACGAAGAATTATGTATAAAATTGCCGCTTGATCTAGAAGATCAATCAGTTGATACAGGTGCAAGCAGAATACTTGAAACTCGTGAAGTGGGAAGGAGGAGTAGTCGAAAAACGGGTCGAGGAAGTGCAGCAATGCTCGCATTGGAGAGAAAAGCTGCTGCTAGGAAAGCTGAAAAAGAAGGGAAACACAGAAAACGTAAAAGTGATGAGTCACCTGAATCAGGATCCGGGAAGCTGAAAGTGGGACTTCGTGCACGTGTAAAGCAGGCAGAACGAATCTCAAAGCGAATCGCTGCTCGTGAAAAATGCAAAAGACCTGGTTTGCGTTCACAAATTTTTTTTAATTTTTAATATTTAAAATTGCAAAAAAAATACTTCAGGTTAAAATCCAGTTCAGGTAAGTGGAAGGAATATCATTGCTTTCAGTTTTACATGTTAACTTTCATTTATTGCATTTTTGCTCTACTTTTTGCACATTGTTACGTTAAATTTAGTATTATCTTCATTCGTTTACTTTGCCATAGTTGCGAAATTGAAACGCCTGCTGTTTTACGACTTTTGAATTCGAAAAAAAACATGGTGTTATTAACTTATTATAGTATATCTCACGAGCTGAACGTATTATCTGTCGTGCTTTTGATAAAGCATTTTATGAACGAACCATTTATCAGTTGAATAGTCTTTATTTCGTTAATGTTCATTAAATATTTTAAATGATTAAAAAATACCAGTAAAATTCCCAAAGTTATCAGCAGGTTTTATTTATTTTCGACTTATTTCATCATTTGTATGATTTCTTTGACATCGAAATGATCAACTTTCAATTACTAATATTGTTGTTGTGTTGTTTTATTTAATGACATCCTTGCTAACACTTTTTTTATCGCCGCTTTGTATATTAATAATTATCGGATTCGGTCGGACTTGTTTTTTGTTAAAACAGTTGTGCCATGTGAGAAAACTTTCAAATCCGAGTAAAGCCTTATTTTCATCTCGTTTGGCAGAGAAAAAAAAATTGTCCTTCCACTAGCTAATCTCTACAACATCAAAACTTTTACACTTACTGAAAATGGAAGGGTAAAAGTTTTCATCTTTGATTTTTACATATGTATTTCTGTTTTTGTTCGTTTAAAGAGGCAGTTGTGGGATTGCTGCATGGATAAGTCGAATAGCTGATACAGTTTGCAAGTGGACGAAGGATTGGATTTTGTGTTTCACAAGTCAATTTTTGGTTTTTTGGATCGATTGAGAGTGCTGGTCGATGATAGCATTCCTACATTTATTTGAATAATATTAAATCAACTAGAAGGTTATTCAGATTCTGAACCTAGGAATGACTGTTGTAGAATATTTACGTGTCATTGCCCTAAAGTAAACTACGAAAAACGTAGAATATAGTTGGATGATAGCTTTGCTGTACTTTTAGGTCAATTAGTAGGGTATAGCTATATTGATTGGTTCATTATAGCCATAGCTTCACATAACTTCAACTTAGTTAATTCTTGAACGAGACCTACACAGATTTGTTCTTATTTTAACGAAATTTGCAGTATTTCACTTTATGTTATGTGAGATGATATCAGTGACTTTTCATAATTTAGGTAATATCACATGTATTAGTTAATATTTGAATGATATATTTTTATACACTCGAATTTGGATATCCTGATAAAAACAGTTATTGATAAAGAATTTCAGGGAATTTTAGGAATTCTAATATTTAAATGACGAATTATCGGCCTAAATGGTATTGCTATATGCGAAAAAATTTGCATTACAGTATAATCGTTGCACTAAATGTTCATTCAACTTTGACACCATAGATCGATTGCCATCTCTTACAGCTTTCTAGCTTAGCAAGAACATTTGTAAAAAAAAAGTATGCGTGCTGATTTATGTAGGTTATCTTTTATCATTTTGAATACTCGTACGGGAAAGAATTCTCGTCATATCTACTTCGTTAAATCATTGCAGAACCGTATTAACTTCTCATCGATGATTATTTTTTTGGTATCAGGTAGAAAATACTAACTATCTCTATCTAATAAAGTGATGTGTGATACCTAATATCTACTATTTTATTTAGTGATC